GTGAGTGCAAATTACGGATATGAGATGGCAAATTATTCCATAAATTAGGTGCGGCTGAAATGAAAGCATGGTTTCCTTGTTTTGACAACATTTTGCCTAATTTGGATATTCTAATAAAACTTCACCTGTAGACCTGAGGCTATAACAACGTTGATTTCTGACAGTAATTAGTTCACTAAAGTAAATGGCGCAAGGCCATGTAAATATTTAAAAATCATCAGCAAAGTCTTCAAATCAATTTGAAACTTGACAGAAAGCCAGTGTAAAGCACTAAGAATAGGAGTAACATGACATAATTGGTGAGAATTCATAACCAGCCTGGCTGCGGCATTTTGAATCCTCTGTAGCTTGGACATATGACAACGGGGCAATCCATAAGTTGTCCATTACAATAATCCAGCTGACTAGAATCACAGGCATGGATTAAAATACTCTAGATAATAAATGCTAATACTTTTTATGTTGTGGAGATTATAAAAAGCAGCAGAGCAGACTTTTGTAGTATGAGTGGACATTGACATTTCGAATCAAAAAATGAACCAAGAATGCATGCTTGTTTAGCAAAAATACTGTTAAAAAGTGCAGGGGGCGGGACCCCCCCCCTCCCCCCCACCGTCCTTTTAGAGTTAAACAACATTTGTCAGAATATGTCCTGGCCAATGGCACTAACAGCAACATAAACACCTTCAAACAGTTTGCAGAGTTGCACAAAAGTGAAGAAAAATGTACAATTTCTGTACATGTACAGCATGTATCACAGGAAGATGTACATGTATCTCAACACATACAGGACATGGATGCCTCACAGCAACCTGAGGGGGCAGAAATTCTTACCCTTCCTGGCACCCGGCGGCGGTGCGATGTCTTTTTAGAGCGTGGAACTGTACGTATACATGTACTACATGTATGTTATACGATATGCAATAACAGAAGCCCAGTGTAACTAACCTTTTGTTTCTAAGATGGCAATTAATCATCAGATACAATTTATGGCATAAAATGTATGGTTAGAAAGAGAAAACCTCCCTTCAATAACAGTTTACAATGTACCTGTGATGATTGTGCCTTCATCCATTGAGCATGCAATGATGTCCCTTCTGTCACGTCCCGTCTGTCACAACATTAATAAGCTGGTGTTTCCAGTTCCATGTTTTGAATAACTAAATTATGTGTTTAATGAATATTTGCATAAAAGGGATGAACTTTAAAAGTGATAAAACCATTAAATTATGTAGGGGAACAGATTCAAAAGAATTGAGTGGTATTGCCGTCCCATCTGTAACGCTGAATTTACTTTGTCACTATACAGCCACTGAATTCAATAGTTTTATGGATTGTTTTTGACATGTACATGTAATTGGAAATATAGGCATAGAGTGTATACTTTGACTTTATACTGTACATTTGTACCTTCAAACAGTTTGCAGAGTTGCATAACTACATGTAAGAAGGTTACACCTTACAGATTATTTTGGCAGGCCTTATTGAAAAAAAAAATGGCAGTGTCCCATCTGTTACACAAGCATGCAGACCACTTTAACCCTTGCAACTGTATACATTTTATTACATTGTGTTTACAGAGAACTTTATACATGTATATGTGCGTAAACTGATGATTCCATAGAGTGCTCTTGCAGTTTCGGGCGTTTCATACAGGGAGTAATAGGCAGGGCGATTTCTTGTAAATTAAATTCTACTTGACATTTATACATGTACATGCATACATTGTACATGTACAATGTACATACTGAGCATACCGTACACTTGTGTCAATCTGAATTTCTGGTTTAGGTTGTTTTATTTTTCAATTGTTTGGAAACAACAACCATTATCTCTTGCAGCGGTCTGTTTCCTCTCATTGTAGTTCTAGCATCAGGAAGGAACTGCATGTGCAGCTGGTAAGCTTTCTGTGTTTCACTGAGGAAATATAGTAGTTGATAAATTCATGCAAGCAAGTTTGGAATCACGAAAGAACCATTTCATGCATGTTTGGCAAAATTGTCATCTAAATCCCAAATGCTACTCAATATTGAAAAGTTTGTATGCAAACTACATCAAAAGAAAAATTGGGATGTTGAAGCTCTGATCAGATCATTGTTGGAAGAATTGCCTTAAAACACAAGTAAAACGTCATTTAGGTAACTTTGTAACCTGTTCTTTTCATATTGTATTAATTAGGATTGACTTGCAAGGTGTGACCTAAAGGCTGTTGACCCTAGACCCTCAAATCCAGTCCTTACTATAACATGCTGCCACAAATGCATTAAAACAAAAATCAAATTCATATATCACATCACATTAACCAGTAAAGATATTTCACATTGTAATTGGCATCTACGCACATGATTTATATTTACATTACATTCATAAATGCCTATCTGTGCGTTTCTCATAACAGTTTATACCCATTGGTCGAGAGCTGGTCTTAAACGGGTGATAAAGACATGGCTGGCTGGTCTTATACACTTTTCCAGTGTCGCATGAATTTTGGACTCCTATGAAATCCAGCACCTTTTACCGTTTTATTGGTTGAACGTTCACAATCTGAAGGCGTGCGCAATACTACCAGTGAGTAGGCCTAAGTATTTCATAGTCCTAAATTCACAACGCACTCGCCACAGCTGCATCTGCATGTCATCGCGCAGTGCGCGTGATGCGCGCGCCAATCTCCATAAATGGAGTTGTTTGCGTCATACTCGCGAGCTTGACAGTTAGATGTTTCGAAAAACAGAAAGTATATCTGTTTAACAAAATTGTTGGAAATTTTTAATTTTTTCTTGTTTTGTCTTTTGGACCAAAAAGTTTTGATTTTTTGACCGAAAAGGTGTTCATGAATGGGAGTAAATATGTGTTTGGTCGGTATTAAACACTATATTTAAGACTGGTTGGAGTCTGGAATGCTGATAATTACCCGAGGCTTCGACTTGGGTAATTATCAGCATCCCAGACTCCAACCAGTCTTAAACATAGTGTTTAACACCTTCCAAGCACACATTTATTCTCTTATTCAAATTTCTGATTATCACAAAAAAAAGGCACAAAAAGAAAGATACAACATGTACTCCTTAAAGGGAATGTACAACATTTGCTTTTGCTGCAATTTTCAGAAATAAATGGATTTGGAGGATTAGTATGTTATAGCAAATACTGTTAAAATGACTTTTTTTTCACGTTTGGGCTTGTAGATGCTGGAAAAACCAAGAAAACCAATCATGTATTTACAGTCTGGTTCCCTGACCCCACTTAAGATAAAACGGAGCAATTAATAGACTTTGGGGAATTGTAAGGTCAGAGAATCAGTCTAGCAGACTTGTACCTCTTCACAGGTGTGTAATCAATTGCAAAGAAAATGCGGAATAACTAATTATGAAAAAATTGGAGCAATTTTTGAAAAATACCCAGTTTTCTCCAACAGCTGACCAGCGTTGGAAAAATACCATTTTTCTTGAAAATGTCGGCACACCAGGAGCCATGATTTTACAGGATGCTTTAGACTGTCATTCCCTGACAATCCAGTAAGGTATTTTGCGATAATTTGATCATTTCGTTTTGTGATGTTTGCAAATGTTGTACCTTCTCTTTAAAGGGAAAATACAACATTTGCAAACATCAAAAAATAAAACTATCAAATCATTTTGAAATACCTTGCTGGACTGTTAGTGAATGACAGTGTAAAGCATCCTGTAAAATCATGGCACCTGGTATACTGTCATTTTCAAGAAAAGTGGGTTTTTTGTATCAATTTCCAACGCTGATCGGCCGATCAGCGTTGGAAAAAACTGGCTTTTTTTCAAATACTGGCCCCAGTTGACCATCGCACTTGTTTGCAATCGATTACACACCTATGAACGGGTACAAGCCAGCTAGACTGGTTCCCTGACCTTACAATTCCCCAATATATATGTAAACTGCTCTGTTTCTTCTTAAATGGAGTCAGGGAACCAGACTACAGGAAAATGATTGTTTTTCTTGGTTTTTATAGCATTTTCGAACCCAAAACCTCAAAAAAGTCAGTGTAACTATATTTGCTATATATTTCCAACCCCCCAATTCCATCCATTTCTGAAAATTACAGCAAAAGCAAATGATGTATATTCCCTTTAAAAAAAGTCAAAATGAAAATGAGATATTTAAACGAGGAAGAGAATCAAATTAGGTTTTGCCCTTCACCGACGTAGAAACACTGTATACTCAGTGTGTTACCTCCCGAGTGAAAGTTGGAAAAAATCACTCGGGTGGGACTCGAACCCACGGCCTCCTGCTTTCTTGTGCAGATGTCTTACCACTCGACCACCGAGCTAACGGCTTATTCCATCCCATCTTATTTATAGTTTATGCGGTACCCGCTGCCATGTACATTAGATTCGAACCAACCAACCAATCCCGTTAGCTCGGTGGTCGAGTGGTAAGACATCTGCACTAGAAAGCAGGAGGTCGTGGGTTCGAGTCCCATCCGAGTGATTTTTTCCAACTTTCACTCGGTAGGTAACACACCGAGTATACAGTGTTTATACGTCGGTGAAGGGCAAAACCTAATTTGATTTACATCACCCCGCCGCAAAAATCCCATCTTATTAAAGGAGTTTTGAACATCTTTCAAAACAGATAAAACGTTTCTAGATATATTTACATGTATTTATGTACACATCAACTGATTATACAAGAAATATGTTCACAGAATAGAAAAGTCCATTGAATTTAGAAATTTTGACAAGTGATGCATCTGTCGTGTAGCAGTGTGATCAAGCGTAGATATATTGTTATAATCCATGATGTAGAGATGACTCTGCAAATTCAGAACCACTTGTCATGCCTAATAATGAATATATTGATGTGCGTTAAGATTCTACTGTTCTGCCAAAGCACTCTTTGAGATGAGCTGTGCTGATAGATTGCATTGGCTCTCACAATCACAGGACTATCGTTAGAATCATCCCCTCCACCCACGAAACTATCAATTGACGTTAATCTTGATTATCTATCTCTCAATATCGTTGCAGCCAACAGCCAGAAGCATCCTTGACTGTGTAATAAAGTTAGGCTCGGCCCGGATGATAACTTGTCAATAGCCCTCAGCGTGCCAGAGCACTTTGCAAAATTGCAAGGGTACGACAGTACAACACCAGTTTGCCGTGCTCGTTGCTTTGAGAAGGTAAAGACAAGTTTAAGTGGCTCTGCTGCAAAACTGTGGTAACGACGCCCAGCTGCAGGTAAAAGAGGGTTGCCCCACTACTTAGCACCACCGTATTTCCCAGGCCGCGCGTCAAGGCAGAAAACCTGGACGGTCCAGGGGAGAGGCCCCGGTTGCCCTTTGGCGTGCCAGTACCAGGAATGCCGGTCCCAATGGACGGACGAGAGCAGGGCTATATGCCGTAAGTACCACTTTTCTGAGGATTTATTGTCTTCCATAAACCTTTACCTGTTACATACATTTGTAGCATAATTACTGAGGATAATAATGGTACTGTGTGGACCCACCAAAACACTTCATTGTCTGAAATACATATTACACAGGACTTCAATAGTAAGGCTAAACCCTGCAAGGTCTTTCAAAATTCTACTTGAGGTTTTGAAGGATTTTGTGAAATTGCAGAAGGTACAGCCCAGCTCACATGTATGGAACTTGACATGTGCCTTTGAATTTTGGAAAGGTTCCTACGTATACATATAGTTCAGGGTGCTGGGTTTAAATTGTGACTACCTGAAGACATTCAGATAACTCCTTCCCCATGGAAATATAACAATGAACTCATCCCCCGACCTGCATCTGTCAAAAGTTTAATTCTACCAAAGGCACACGGAACATTCATTGTACAACTTAACAGTCCTGAATCCTCCAAATTTAATATGATTTCTCACACACCATATAGGGAGTTAGGGATTTATAAATAAAATGATGGATAAAAATCCCAAACATAACAAAAGCAAAAAACATCAAGACCTACGCAGAAGTGGCTGCGTTCTGCAGTCTTCAACCTATCCAATCCAGCTGCATGTACATGTACCTTAACTTTATAACCAGCTTCCAGAGATGCCAGTTTTTCGGCTGTAGCTGGGATTCCAGCTTTTTAAAAAAAAAATTGAGGGGGGGGGGGGATCTGGTAGCCCTTCGCAGAAAATAAATCCACATGTTGCGCACATGAAAAATAAAATAAAATAAAAATTTAATTAAAATAGCCACATGTGTCGTTTTTAGTCAGTAGAAAATTCTGTTACGTGTTTGTTTATCATCGCTCATGAGCCAGTAAGAAAATTGGTTAGGCGCTACGTGTCAGCGTGCTAGACTTGTACTGTGTACAGTGATCGAGTGCAGTCGTTCAAATTGTATGGCGAACGATAGTTTAAAAGAGAATTGTATTTGTTCTTGAGTCTTGGATCATTGTGCGTGTGCTGCCCAATGGTGATCACCATGCTAATGCAATACATGAATGTATGTATTGTACATGTACATTCAATTTCAACACTCATGCTACCGGTATTATTACGACATGAGCACATATACATGTACATGTATGGTGTATTGGGATCGTGTCAAGTTTTTCTGGCCCTGGGGCAAAACCCGCCGGCATCCCTGCAACTTCTTGTTGTCACTTTTTGTCCCTCGTTTATAAAATTAAAGTAACATGCCTGGGTATTGATCTTTATACAATGCAAGAATAAATCCCCGTCATCTGATTGGTTGGTTGTTGATCAAATGTCGTTGAATTATTCGTCCCAACCCACGGCTCCGGCCGATAACAAGGATTTATTCAGGTGTTGTATAAATAAAACATTCGGTATCATTACAATATACTGCATAATATTTCAAATACCGGTACATTTCATTGCACTCCTTCATTTAGCCTGGATGATCTCTGTGGCCCCCCTCCCCAGATATCCAGATTGCAATACTGTATGTGATCACTGCATTGGGGTGTGTCTGCATTGCCTTATATTGTCAGGAAACCCCCCATCAAGCTGGCTTGGGAAGATAAGACCGTTGCTCATTCCACCATACAACGAGGCCATGGGGGGGGGGGGGGGGGGAGAGGAGGGGAGGGGGTGGCTACGGAGTGCTGATCTATGTAGTGCTGGTTGGCCCTTGCTGACTCATTGTCCCCTTCACCTGGTCAGTTTACCTGCATGCCACCGATAGCACATTGTTTAATTGAATCTTGTCGGTGGGGGGGGGGGGGGGGGGGGGGGGGGGGGGGCTGTCAGATTCACATGGCGGTGCTGTGTCAGTGCTAGCAAGGTGCTTACATGTACCAAGATACCATAATTGCACAAAGTACCGTACATTGGGACCCTACCAAGCTTCTGCAGTGTGTGAACCATGCCTTAGGCTGCATGATCTACGTGTACATGCACATTGTGTACATGTATTTTTATTGTGGCACAAATTTGGCCCTTAACTTACATACTGTACACGTACTTCATATCCAAAAGATAACATTCAAAATGAAAACATGTACAAACTTGCAGTAAACCCCATCAAAGACCTTTCGTTCATATGATCCACCTTCATACCATGGGAAAAATGGATTGACAATACATATTATTAGTTATCTTGCGAGCGCGAGTGGAACACGGAATAATGTAGTGCGTCTGTGTCCCACATATTCGGCCGAGTGGTATGTGGGACACAAACGCACTACATTTTCCGTGTTCCACGAGCGCGAGCGCGATAACGAATTTATCTTCAAGCAAACTTGATGCACAGTAAAGTTAGAACACGCATGCTGTAACCTACGCTCAACTTTTGAATTCACAGTGAATTGTGCAGCACTAATCACATCACGTAGGCTTAAAATAGCGCAATACGCGGAGTGCGGTATGGACCGTGGCCGTGCGGTATGGTTATATGTAGCACGGCTTGTTGCCATGGATCGACCAATCAGGATCAAGGATTCAAGTTTGCTTGAAGATAAATTCCAATGTATGTACCGGGTGTGTGCAATGTAAAGGTGCAGGTTGTTTTGAGATCAGTTTTAAATTGCCAAGTTAGAATTTCTGCCTGAACAAGCACATCATCGGCACCTGTGGTTGGTAAGTTTTTGTATAACCATCTCAGCTCTTCCATGCAAAATCCAGGGATAGGCCTGGACTGGACTCGCCAAGCTCTCACAAATATTCAGAGAATAACAACTTGCAACCATGTACATGTACATCAAGCAGTCAGGCTTGAGTTTTCAGCAAATTAATTATGTAAATTTGCAAAGCCTTTGCCATGTTTTATGCGAAATCCTGAAACGTTTTTCACCATTGAGGTATGTGCATTTGAAATGCATCAATACACAAACAAGTACTCCGATCTGCAATGTACTTTGCAGTCTGTTCAAAGCCCCAGAGAGTACATTATTGTGCTTTGAACATATAGAAAAGTAAAGAGAAGTTGTTGCAAAATAATTAACCCTCCTGCTATCTGAACAGTCGCAGACAGTCAAAAAATCAATCCTCTTCCCCTGCCATGCCTTTGACCGCGTTAACACTGGATCCCGCAAGGGGGATTCAAGGGGGATCCGATCTGGCAAGGAGGATCGAAGTCTGCTTAACCGCAAGTGTAAACGCGAGGTGGATCGAGCCTTTAGCCGGATCGGATCCCTCTAGCTGAATCCCCCTTTCAGGAAGGATCGGACCCCGCAATTGCAGGATCCGATCCCCCAATTGTTGAGTGTAAACGCAATTGGTGGATCGGACCCCGCAATTTGACCCAGCCACATCCTGTCAGCGTAGAAAAGTCCCCGAAAATTATGATGTTGTTATTGACGATCGAGTCGCCGGCGTGAGGCCTGCATGAATGCTGCGATGGCTCCCAACGCGGTTCTGTGCACAGAACATATGATGCGCGGTTTGTACTCGGCCAGAATCCATCGGTGTTTCGTCCATGTGCATGAAAGAGGAGTTTCGTTTTAGTCCTGTAAGTGTTTCTCTCAAGAATGGGTTTCCATTGTAGCTCTTCATTCTTTGAAAAAGTAACCAGGAACCCAAAAATAAAGGAAAGGTGATCGGAGATCAAACCGATTACAGGTCATGTATCTGTGAACAGACACACACATGAAACTGGTACAATTATTTGGACATCACAAAAATGGTGGTTTTAGGTTTTCAGAAGTTCAGTATGGATATGACGCGACATTGACCCCCCCCCCCCCCATCATGACAGCATGTCAAGGAAGGGCAAAAGCCACGGTCCGCTACCGGTAAAACTCCTTTTATTGTCATCAGTTCATGTTTTAACCATACATTCCTAAATCCACAAAACTCCTTTTTATTTGCATAATGTAGGATTCTGCAGGATTGATGCTATTTGGCAAAAATATGCGGCTGATTTTGAAGGGTGCACTTTGTCAAGGAGGTCTTGAGCCGGACCTTGTATTGTTTATGCTCAGCCGTACATACATTTCGACCGACAGAGAAGAATTTGCAGGATTCATTGAAGCAGTGGTCATCCTTCAAAAGGGCCACATTCAAGAATGAGCAGATGATTTTGGAGGATTGAGGCTGCTAGGCTGTTTGTAGTTTTTACATGGAGGCAGTTGGAGGATTTTTGCCGCTGCTCTTTTTGAATGATTTTCCTTTGAAAAATCGATGGTGCTTTAAATGTTTATTCACTTTTGAATGAGACATCAAACCCAAAAAGGAAAGAATGTTGCATCCTCACGCCTCTTTAATGACTGAAGGTCAGTCATTGCAAAAATGTTGAAAAGACATGAATCTGATGAGACTGAGGAACATTGTCGATTCTATAAGTTACCTTGAAATGCACTCAACTTTCCACAGATTTCGTTTCAACCAAAGAAGTGGCATCAGGATTCTACATTCTCTCCCAAAGGAATTTTTTGAAAAGACATGAATCTCAGACTGAAAAAAATCCGATTTTGTTGAAATATGCTCTCTGATTCTGAACGCAACTTCCCAAAGACGGTGTACACAACCAAACACGTAGGCCTACATTCTTGGCCGAGCGATTTTCTGACTCCAATTAGTCACTAACTTTTTAATACTTACATAAAAGTTTCATTTTTGGGGACTGGTTTTTTTTTTTTTTAGATAATGCTCAATGTGCGTCGGTGATGTTAGAAGTTATATCCTTCATACACCATTCACTATGAGGACTCCGATGACCGTGAAATCCTTCCAAGAGGTCCAAGGGATATATACACGTGTTGATGATCGATTTCATATTCAAATCCAAGATGGCGTTTGCCGCGTTTTCGTGTAACGTTCACCTCAGGTTGTTCGTCAAACAACAAATAAATCCACAAAAGCAATATGCCTAAAACTCACCAATAAGATCCAACATTTAACAGGTTATAATGAAAGAGAGAAGTAATATTTATATCCAAATGAAGATAAAAAATACTTGCATGCAACCGAATGGCGGTAAAACTCGGGGTAGGTCTCGGCAGGAAACGCTATCCTGCATCAAGTTGGGGCTGGGAAAGCCACTTGCTTATTATTCATAGTATCACCTGTACACGTGTGTAGTCACGCAGTTGACATACCGTGTATTGTGCTAAGCGAACAATACACGAAAAGAAACAAAACAAGACATGACCGCTTTAAACATCTGCAAGTGGAGATCTCGCCAACGTAGACAATAATTCATTATTCGTGGACTGTTGTGGACAATGCGTGGAGGATAAAGCTATCTAGATTACGACAAAAATCGGGGGACAAACGTCAGTAAAACATGGAGTAATCATCAGTAGTCAAGCTGCATAGCGATGAATGATATATCTTAATTTTTGCAGTGATTAGCGTGCGAAATTGGCCGTCTTCTGCGCACACTCAATGACCTTCCTTCCGTTGTAAATGGGGGATTGGAGGGGGATCAGGATCGGGTGTAAACACGGCCCAGTTTATCTGCGGTTAGCTTCCCCCTAGTTTTATGCGACCGCAGGATGCGATCCACCTTTGGAGGATACAGTGTAAACGCGGTGTTTTACACAGGCTAGTCACCAATAGTCAGATCATATTTTATGCAAACACTGTGACTAGTCAAATTCAGTCAACAGACAAAAACAGGCAAGTGGTAGGCATACTGGTCGCTGGCTTATCAATCACCTACAGTCAAAGCATACCGGTAGCTGTGTCAAGTTACATAAGCAGACACAGCCAGTTAATTCTGCTTAACAATGTACATGTATGTAGGCTGGGAGCTCTTTGAAAACAGTCACTTGATTGATTTTGACTGCAAGGACAACTTGGCACAGAATGTATGTTTACATAGGAGGATTAAGTTTAAAGGGAATATACATCATTTGCTTTTGCTGTAATTTTCAGAAATGGATGGAATTGGGGGGTTGGAAATATATAGCAAATATAGTTACACTGACTTTTTTGAGGTTTTGGGTTCGAAAATGTTATAAAAACCAAGAAAAACGATCATTTTCCTGTAGTCTGGTTCCCTGACTCCATATAAGAAGAAACAGAGCAGTTTACATACATTGGGGAATTGTAAGGTCAGGGAACCAGTCTAGCTGGCTCGTACCCGTTCATAGGTTTGTAATCGATTGCAAACAAGTGCGATGGTCAATTGGGGCCAGTATTTGAGAAAAAAGCCAGTTGTTTCCAACGCTGATCGGCCGATCAGCGTTGGAAATTGATACAAAAATACCACTTTTCTTGAAAATGACAGTATACCAGGTGCCATGATTTTACAGGATGCTTTACACTGTCATTCACTAACAGTCCAGCAAGGTATTTCAAAATGGTTTGGTAGTTTTATTTTTTGATGTTTGCAAATGTTGTATTTTCCCTTTAACTCAACAAAAACAGTTGCCCGTTGTTACCATTATTGCCATTACATCTTATACAGACCAGCAGTTACTGTTTCTTTTTGCACTTTGCCAGCTACTGTACATTACAATGCCATCAGTCAAACATGCCAAATACAGTATTGATTATATAATTAATAAACCAGGAACACCAACCCACGTTGTTGATTGTCATAAAAACTGTGATTAATGTTGCCCAGTCTGCTGCCCACAATGAATATTAAATGTATTTACAATAAGCCAGAGCGCTACATTTACATCACATTTAAAATCTGCCTACAATCATGTACAGTATGTACGTTCGGTACCTTGTTTTGCATATTGTACAATGTTCCACACTGACTGAGTATTTATACACAGAATTACATACATGCTCTCTCCAGACGTACAAGTACGTACATTGTACATGTAACAATAATGCCAATATTATATTCAGTAGGGGGCCTACTTGATTATTGTACGCTAACTGATGTCCATTAACTTCATTGAAGATAATTACCATACGTCAGTTATTTGTTTAGATTCATTTACAACAGAGGAATTTTAACCCCCAAAAGAAATAGGAATCACTAACACATTTTTACAGTTGTACATGTAGGTCTGATAAATGGAAAAGTTCATTTCAGAAAAAAGGGAAGGACAGTTACTTGTTTTAATTTCAATTCATGTCCAAGTACGGTGAGGCACATGATGGTTTAAATTATGTTCCATCAAAAATGTAAATCCTGCAGGGAAGAACAAATTACATACTTAAATTTATACACAAAAAAATGTCCTCCTTGCAAAATCTTCAGTAATTGGGCCAGAGTATTGAGGACTTGCTTCCCTATCCTCACAGTAATATGTTCTACATGTATGTAATTGTGTGTCTTAGGACTAGGAGGCCTACCGGTAGTACACAACCTGTTAAATGCAGAAACTGTACAGTGTAGCTCAGACCATACACATACACGTACATGTACGTACACAAACTGCACCACGCACTGTGGGTCACTGTCTGTGACATAAAATATGTGTAATTAGCAAAGGGGAAAAAAAGAGTCCCTGCGTTATATTGTGTGTATAGCGTGAGTGACACACACATGTACTGTATGCTATATTGACATTTGAAGCTGCTGTCTGTTTCTTTGCGTGTCTGTGTGTGTCTGTTGGGCTATGGCTGCTACAGTGCCCCCACCACCTACATGTACCCCCTGCAACATGCAGTGCGTTCCTGGCATGGCGGGCCCCGCTGATTTACCCATGTTCAACTCTGTCCCATTCTACAGGAGGCACACACCGTTTGTCAGCCAGCCTGACTACCGAATTTACGAGCTGAACAAGAGGCTACAGCAACGATCAGAGGTGAGATTGAAGGAGGGAGAGGGGGTGGGGAATTATGAAATGGGGGGGGGGGTCATAGATTTTTTGAGTAATGGCAACATTGTCAGCACATTAAACATGAATGAGTCCTACATGCATGTAGTTTTGATTTGACTTACGTTTTATTTCCAAACATTACAATATTGATTTATCAATAAAATGTTAGACAAATATACAAATGATGTGGTGATGGATTTTCTACCATGAAATAATGGCTGTTTTTTTTGTGGCGTACAATTTCCCAAGTAGTCAGTTCCATACTGGTGGTTTGACATTTCAACTCAATTTTTCTGTTTTGTTAAATTGTTTTAAAACCCTAACTCCCTACTTAGTTTTACAAAAGTAGAAGTCCATGTCGGGCATAATCCATCACTCACTCTGCTTCACATAATGCTTCAGGACCAAATCCATTGAAATCCATCACTGGTGCTGGTGGATTTGGTGGACATCTGCCAAAATCCTTCAAATGGGGGGGGGGGGGGTGGATTTTAATGGAGTTGGTAATCTACGTTAGGGTTAATATGCCAAATTCTAAAAGATAGTAGAGAGGACCTGCTCAAAATTCAGTAATATTGATTGAAACAATGGTTGCTGTTTCAGTACGGTTTTTTAATGAGCACATTATAGGTATGGTAACTTGGCCTCAGATACGTACATGTGTACATGTACAGTATGTACATGTGTACAGGTCATGAGATTTTTAACACAAAATGTAACAAGCTTTGTTTTTTTAAATTATCATACCTGACGTGTCAAAATACAATGTACCAAATGTGCATGTACATGTATGTTCGTGTTACGTGTATGTGCGTGAATATACATACATGTATGATTGGCAGTGTATGAATTTTTGGTTAAAAACTATCCAAAAATGTATTGAAGCTCATTTGGAAATTGTAATGCACTTTTTTATAATAATCTAGACGATATTTAAAAAAAATGTTACATTAAGAGGCATTTTTGAGTAGAAGTTAGTAACATAGCTATTTTACCTAATTTTGGGGTGCTGAATCCAAAAATGATGGTTACCAAGCTGGATTTTCAGTGGAAACATGCCTAATTTGCATAAATATTTATTATTATTTATATATTATTATTATTATTATTATAGTCTTGCAAAACTAGTATTGATGAACTTCAAATTCACCATTTTGCTTACTGGTACAGTAAACTGATTAAAAACCTTATGGAAAATCATGTGAACAAAGATATAAACATTGTGATATAAAACGGAAAAACTGAGGTATCCGTAAATTGGGCTAAAAAGTAGTTGAAGGGTTGCCTAACGTGGGAGACTTTAACAAGTTCAAGGAAATTCCCAAAATTATTGTTAAGAAAATTTTTGACATTGACATAATTATTGTAAGCAACAATAATTATTTATTTTAGGGGGTTTCCTTGAAATTGTTCAAGTCCCCCACGTTAGGCAACCCTTCACCTAATTTTTTAGCCCAATTCACAGACACCTCATTTTTCCTCCTGTTTTCTTTTTTTGGCTAAATATCAAAATGTTATCAATTTTTACATAATTTCCCATTTATTTTTGTTAGGGTAACTGTGCCAGTAAGTAACTTTGTAAATTTGAAGCCCATCAATACTGACTTTTGGCGAGACTTCTGAGGAAAGTAATGGCGTGCAACTATAGGGTATAATAGTAGTCATTTTGGATGGTTACTAAGTCCTCAATTTTTCAGTCACTTATATGCTTAAGAAAATGTTATTGAAGTAAGAAGGTGTATATAGAATCACCAAAATAAACTTGTCAAAAAATAATAACAAAGAATATACCAAAATACACAATGTATGGGAACAAATATATTACGCGACAAGTAGGCCTATTAAAGATTTATGCACCCTGGACTAGGTTAAATAGCATGTTACCAACTTCTACTAAAAAATGTCTCTTCTTGCCCTAAATGAGCCTATTTTTTTAATTATCGCCTCTAGATGTATTGTGTAAACTGAACTTACTTGATGCATTTTTCATACAATGTATACATGTGCATTGTACATGTACATGTACATGTACATGCACACGTACAGACATGTACGGTACTGACTGTATACGCTAACCCTACATGTACTGGTACATGTACGTACAAGGACAATTTCCTACAAGAACAAGTCAGTTGGCTGCCTGCACAGCTACATGTATACACAAGACACACGGGCAGTTACACTATATTTATGCATTTTTTTATGCATGCACAATGCTTTTGGTTTAATCTTATTTTTCACATTGTAAACAATAAGTACATGTACATACATGTATGTATAAAACGTACACGATGCATGTACATTATTTTTCTGAAAATGTTGCTGGTATATACCGGTACTTGCATTTTTAAGCTCTGGCAGGAGCTTCTACATGTCACTTGGTGGTTGGTTGGTCACTTGGATGGTCTGTCTGTCCCCGAAAATTGACCAAAAATATTTGACCAAAAATTGACCAAATGCCATACCGCCGTCAGTAAATGCACTTTTGACAAAAGTTATAAGAAAACAGGGTTTATCTCCATCGATATGTATGCACGAGTATTTTGCATGTATCTGTTCCCAGAAAATTGACCAAAAACAAGGCCCCTATGTTCCCATAATATAACTACCAAATTTTAATTTAAAGCAAAAAGCAAACAAAAGAAATGAAATACTTAACAAAAATTGTTTGTAACAATTCGTAAAGTTGTTTATGAAAATTTTGTAAATGGAGGCAAGATATGGTGTAGTAGTGTTATAGTCACGTGGTATATAGCGCGCTTTTTTTTATGGCAAACGTTGAGGGCTTATTTTGGTCAATTGTCAGCCCGTGATTTTCGCGTGGGACGGCGGACCAGGCTTGTATGTACATGCAAGGCGGCCAAAACTTATTGTGCACTTGCACTTGTTTTCCAGCCAACTCAATAATTTAAGATTTGTCTTTGCAGTTTGTGTAGTGAGTATTACAAAGCCTGATTGCCTTTGCTGACATTGGTCTCTCTCAAAGGACGTCACTGCCTACAGATTGTCATTGGCAATTTTAATGACGTGCATCAGCTGGGCCGTGCCGTATTTTGAAGAAATGCGCTTGGTTTAGAACATGCACCCGTGTTGAGAACATGCACCCGTGTTGAGAACATTATGCACACTGCGTGCTCGCGTACAGTATCTGATGGTGTTGAATACGCAGTAGTAATTTTCCTACAAAGATGGCGTCGTATGAGAGGGGTCTATACATCATTCACTGTTTGCTGCTGCATTGGTGTGAGACTCACACAAAGCCAATTCCATTTTATGAAAGAAGTCAAGAAGAATATTATAATCTGAATAATGTAGATTATTCTTCTACTGAATGATTTAACAACTCTTTCAAGGGCCCATGCAAGGTACGGTATTTTGTTTAATGTAATCCTTGAAAATGTACATCTGTGTCCCATTTAACCTTATTTTCATTTTTCGTTGCCATTTCAAGGATATTTTGGTGCCTTTTTGGTTTTTATGCTACCGGTAGTTGCTATATTAATGAGCAAAAATGTGATGTCATTTCAGGCAGAAATAATAACCTCACTGTTACAGCTACCAGTAGATCAGCATCAAAAGTTGCCAGAATTTTGGGTATTTTGTTGTCATAAATTTTCTTTTCTTTGGTGATTCAGTGTTGTTTCAGAACATGGCAGTAAGCCAGTGAGCAAACTTTTCTCACAAATGTTTTTACTGAGCAATTTTTGTTCTCACAATAAGAACAGAAAACTTCTGAACTAAACAGTGTCTTCCTGAAATGACATCACAGCAACAGCGCCCTCAGTTGTCCGGAAAAGCATGGAATTTTTTAATAAATGTTTAAAGAAGTGCACTTTTCAATAAAATTAACCAAAATGGGATGTGAAGTAGTTTTCATACATTTAAGTGGTGTAGAAAGTTGCACATTCTTTTCATGGCCCCTTTAAAATTTGGACGCCCGTGGGAAAATAATATCCAAAATGTGTATACTACCGGTATATATACCACAACAACGTGAATTTAGTTTTTTCCAGTACAATTTTTTTTCACACTTATGTCATAGCCAATTTTTTCAGGTTTGGTTGAACTTGAATGGTTTGAAACAAACTTATGAATGCAATAAAACGAGGAAGTTTTGTTTTATAATGTATGTATACGTGTGTACATCATATACATACATCATGTACAATACCTGTATGTGCAGGGCTGCCAACTCACGCATTTCATGTTGTTCTCACACTCTCACGCGCACACAGGATTTCTCACACGCACACAGGATTTCTCACGCACAAAAAAAAAGAATAAATAAATAAAACTTGAAAATGATGTTTAAGTGATGATCTTTTGCTAAAAAAAATTGATTAGAGTGGGCAGAAATTGCCTAAGATCGCACCACAGAACGTCTAGAATCCAACGGTTTTCAGGAGGTATTACCAACACTTGAGAGTGAAGGACCACTTTTCTAAGGAATAACACATAATGAGAGGAGCATTTTGCTTGCATGGTCAGATGGGGCCCGCTGTATTCTATTGCCTCAGACTGGTCCCGGAAATTTGGAGCATGCGTAAGTGATTATCAGAAGAGGCAGGTACGGTACATACTGTACAAATCCAAACAAATAAACAAAATCATGAAAAGTCCCATGTGCTTCTTGTTTAGGATATTCATGTACCGTACATGTACATGTATGCTTAGATGCAAACATTATTGTTAGGACTGTGAATATTCCATTATTCCAACTTGGACTTGATCGAATATTTTACCACTCAATTTCAAAACGAACTGATCAAGTTCTACATGTGCCTGTGCTTGTTTGAAATTGAAAGAGCTTGTTAAAACAATATTAAGTGGCTTTCAGCAAAAGTGTGGCATGCGACAAAGAATATAATCACACAATGTGTATGATTACAGTAACATTAGGACATTTTTCATCATCATTTTGAGATCACCCACATTTTTTCTTGGAATATATTGAATCGAAAAACAAATGATATTCTGATATTTGGTTGAGGATCGAATGTTCCAAATATTTGGCACAGCACTACTTATTGCACATCAGTCACATCAACTGTATGATACACCTTGATCATTGTACATGCATGCAGTTACAGTGTACAGTGGCCACCTGTTTGATTATTCACTATTCACCCTGCCAGCTCAATGCATGTATGTATTAACTCAAGGGCTCTTATACAGTCCCCGTACCATTTCATTATGAGCCTGTCCAAAGATGACCCAAATGAATATCAAATGGTCAAGTCAGCTATTTTTCCTTTTATTTCGTTGAATTATGACCCTCTGATATACATTTAACCAACTGCTGTGATGTACGATATGCCCTTTTTAACAAACCGAGTGGTGTATAGCACCCAAAACATGCAAAACGAAGCTGAGGGTGCTATATGTGCCCCGAGGGGATGAAAAATGACATATATCCCACATCACAGCAGTTAAAGGGAATATACATCATTTGCTTTTGCTGTAATTTTCAGAAATGGATGGAATTGGGGGGTTGGAAATATAAAGCAAATATAGTTACACTGACTTTTTGGAGGTTTTGGGTTCGAAAATGCTATAAAAACCAAGAAAAGCGATCATTTTCCTGTAGTCTGGTTCCCTGACTCCATATAAGAAGAAACAGAGCAGTTTACATACATTGGGGAATTGTAAGGTCAGGGAACCAGTCTAGCTGGCTCGTACCCGTTCATAGATTTGTAATCGATTGCAAACAAGTGCAATGGTCAATTGGGGCCAGTATTTGAAAAAAAGCCAGTTGTTTCCAACGCTGATCGGCCGATCAGCGTTGGAAATTGATACAAAAATACCACTTTTCTTGAAAATGACAGTATACCAGGTGCCATAATTTTACAGGATGATTTAGACTGTCATTTACCAACATCCTATTAAGGTATTTCGTAAAAACTTGGTAATTTTATTTTTCGATGTTTGCAAATGTTGTATATTCCCTTTAACAATTGTTTTGTTATACCGATCGTGCCAATATCAATACATTGTACATGTACATTGTACATGTAGTTGTAAATGCGAGAAATGAATGAAATCACTGCGATGTAACCTTTGATAACTGCAGGCTTTCCTGCCAGACATAAGACTGAGCGGTTGCAGCAGTTTTCAGTCGCAAGCGTGCAGGCAGGTTCTCACATGCACGTGCAATGCAGGTTCTCACATGCGCGTGCAATGCAGTGTAGGCTATGTATATTTTTACGCAGTGTGTGCATTTTTTACAGACTGGCTACGTAATTGTTCTGGACCAATGAAAATTACAGTATCCAACATGTCCAAGCACACGATATACATGCGCATGTAACAAGTACATGGTTAACGTACATACATGATGTACATGTACATGTACATGAACAATTGTTGTATATTTAGTGCTTTGTCACCGTAGTCAATTTTCTTAGTTGAAAGTGGGGTGTATGTAAATTTTAATAAAATGAATTTTGTTTTTGGAATAACACACCTGTATTTTGTACTGCTACATGAATTATTTTCACAAGTGAACAACAATCACTATACACTCGTTCACTTCTACAAATAATTGTTTGCAAAAACAAAATTTGTATATTCTAAAATTACAAATAGATTCATACAATGAGAATCAAATTAAATAAGTATGAAAACAATATTGAATGCACAGGCTCAACAACATGAACAATGTCAGTTTTGCATCTTACATACCGGTATGTACAAGTATACACATGCACATGTGTGTATGTTTGCTGAAGGGGTTTTACTACATTTGTACATAAAGAGAAAAAAAACAGAGGGGAAGGCTTTTACTAAACTCTTCATGTGGTGTCATTGCATCTGAGAGATTTATTTAAAAGAATTTATGTACATGTAGTACCGGTGTTTGATTAAAAAAAAAAAGGTAAACCTCACAATTAAGGTATGATTCTGAAACATCTTGGAGGAACAGATTTTGAACTTGATGCATTTTAAAAATGGTATAGAAAAGTGAAAATTGGTGAAAAATTGATCTGCCAAGCCAAACACTCATAAATAGAATCTTACAGAAACCAAAGTGTTTTTTTTTATATACCAGCTCAGTGTTCTGTTAGTTTATTAAATTCCATGTATTCCATGATCATTTTGTTTTGTTCTGTTCGCAGGAAAGTGATAATTTATGGTGGGATGCATTTGCAACTGAGTTTTTTGAAGATGATGCCAGCCTCACGCTATCTTTCTGTTTAGAAGATGGTCCTAAGAGATATGGTAAGTTCACTTCATGTGAAATAGGTTTTTTTTTCGCAAAAGGTGATTTTTTTGGGGGGGGGGGGTTGGTGCTTGAAGGGAATTTGTTGAAATTGCTAAAAAATAAAATTGCTACACTTTTGCTAGTGTTGTACATATTTTACGCTATCAAAGGATTATTCATGGAAAAGATATCATACAGAGTGTGCCAAAAAAATGCGACGTTCATAAAACAAATAAACTGTTTAATGTTTTTTCTTCAATGAAATGACTATTTCTCAATCCACTACTGTTTACCCCATTCCATTTGGGTCCCTAGATCCAGAAATACAATCCATTAAGTGAAAGGGTCTAAATTGTACCTCGACCACTCGCACCTGTGATGTCGCCAACTTCAGTGTCTATTTAATGCCTATTTAATGCTTAATCCAGATTCATAATGTCCAGGTGAGAGTGGCCCAAGCAAAATTTACACCTTTTCACTTAATAGATTGTATTTCTGGATCTAGGGACCCAAATGGAATGGGGTAAAAAGGAGTGGATTGAGAAATAGTCAGGATTTTATGTAATGTATAATTTCATTGAAAACATGAAACAGGTTTAATTATTTGTTTTCTGAGTGTTGCACTTTTTTGGCACACTCTTTACATTGAAGACATGTCATCACCTGATTGAACAGATGAAAAAGAACTCTTTATAATCCACAGTGTACATACCCGGTACATGCACATTTGTAAAAATTGCCTTTGTCATGATAAACACCATCCTTCCAACATTTTGCTGTAGTCCTACAATACAAGTACACACATACTCGCGTATCAGTTTATAGAGATAACCCTCTTTTGTCATATTCTGTACAGAGCATACATCTACATGTATGTATGTATTACAGTGATGGACCCATCAATACTGAGCTTTTTCATAACTCTTTTTGTCGTAATAGTGGCCGTTCTAATTTACGTTACATTTTCATCTACATGTTCATTTGTACATCTGTACTTTCTGTTCATGCAGTGAATATTGTAATATGCTTACTATACATGTGACTTTTACAGCTTAGGACAGTTTCCTCAGTTACCGTTTACCATTTTTGTATGCCACCCACAGCCATTGGTAGAACCCTGATCCCTCGGTACTTCCGTACAGTCTTTGAGGGCGGAGTGACAGACCTGTATTATCTCTTGAAGCATCCTAAGGAGTCATTTCATAACACCACCATAACGCTGGACTGTGATCAGACAACGATGGTGACACACCACGGCAAACCCATGTTCACTAAGGTACATGTTTGGATTCCATTTTTTCCCCCCGAGTTTTAGTCAAGTCCAGGACCAAATCACAAGTACAGTAAGTATGATAAGAGAGCATGAAGGGTTCATACGAATAGCCTGTCACTGAAGACTGGAATGATATGTATACAGTGGAATCACGATAAGTCGATAACATGAAACTCCATATATCTCGAAGTGATACTTCATTCCCGTCAAGAGAATAGGATATTACATTGTATGTACATGAATACCCCAGTAACTCAAAATGCCTGCACTGGTACCTCTGTTTAAATTGAAGTTTTGTTCGGCCAGTCCATAAGAAACCGCAGCCTAAACAGTCACAAAGAAGCAGAAAAAGATGGCAAAACTTTTTTTGTGATTCATTTTTGCCGAAAACGCTTTGTGTTAATACGTGGGTATGAAGCGTACACGATGCCATTGTGATCAGACTCCAGCCTGTTACTGCAACAAATCCTGGCTTTAGAAGTTCCATTTAGCATGTTTAGCCTGATCGCTACCGCTGGCCCAGCTAGCTGCAGCTTGCCAGATAGCAGACCCTCTATCAATCAAATAGGACCGGTGATGTGACCACACATCGGAAAACCCCGAGCGTGGTGATGCGTCGCGCGATCGTTCGAATAGACTTGACTAGACAATCAACTCGAAATAAAGATTTACTACATGAAGTTTCACAATTTGAGTGGTTTACTGTAATATTTATCCATAGAGCAGACACTTTTAGAAAGATATAAAAATATAAAATCTGAGCAAAATAATGATTTGTGATTAAAAAATTACATCATTAAAATCAATAAAAAGAAGGAAAGTGAGCCAAATAACATGTCCATTTCATAGCAGGCATAGCGAGTTACGATGAAAGCCATTCATGTACAGAACAATTGGGATTTTTCCTCTCAATTTTTTTTACACATTTCCTTGAGATTTGACTCATCGAGATTTCACTGTAATTGACTTACGAGGACTGGTGAGTATTTGACTACAACTCTGCTATTTTCCTGTTTTAAGTTGTGGAAAAATTGGTCATTGTAATTACTTTTTTTACTAAATTTGAATTTCAGGCTAGGAAAAGGGGATTTTTAAAATTGCCCTCATGTTTCCTCTACCTTGTTCTTATCTCCCAATTCTTTTGAAAATTTAAGCTTATAAAACATGTGCTACATGTACCTTTTCACTGGTCAACCAGCAACATTCTCTACATGTATGACCCTTGCATGTGATTAGTTACTTTAGGAAGCATACACTTTTTCTAATGTAGCCCTTTACCTCTGGAACTCTGCACCAGACATTGTCTACCAATGTCAGATACATGTGGTCTGTGGTGTTTCAATTTTCTTTACTTAAATGCATATTAAGTTCGGACAGTTTGCCACTGAACAAGGCCCAAGTGGCAACAGACAGTTTTTAGCATCTTTTTTTGACATCAATGGTACTCAGTCATCGATTACTGGAGGGGCACAAGTACATGTTGTACATGTAAAGTACATGTACATTTACATCTACAGAAAGCCTAAGTGTACCTTTATGATGCATGAAAGTTTATAAGGTTATTTATTATACACTTACATGCTATATCCATTATTTTGGGATTATCTGATTTGACACATGCTGAAATTGTTATAAATACAAGGCCGTAAAGGAGTGTAATCACACCCTTAAACAACACACAATGTACACAAATGTACCATCTACAATGTCTTTCCAAAGGAGAATGATATTTGAAGTCTTAATTTTCACTGGTGAAAGAGACCCACTTCCTCTGATGGATGGCTGGCCATTTTATAGCTTTGTCTAGAATCAATTTCTTCCCATAATTGCTCAATCTTGAACACGTTTGGTGCCAGACCATCTTCGAAATTGCAAGTCATATAGCATTGAATTGATGATCCAAAAACTAAAATTAGTTTCAGCAAAAAGTCCATGCCTCGAAAAGTGGAGTCACGATTCCTCATCCGAGTTGTGAATCTATTCTTTACAGGAGTTACCCAAGCCTATTGAAATGCTTTGCATTGATTACATGTATGTACAAGTTCATGTACAGGCATAAAGGCAGGAAATTTCCCAGGTGTCTTTAATGGCAGTCGCAGTCCTTATTTCAATGTGGAAAGTCTGCAATTTGTTAAATATGTGTTTTTCGACCTTTTTTGAAGCAAAAGAGGGAGAAACTAAATCTGGACGTTTAACAGGTACCGGTAATGTAATTTAAAAGCATCCACTGGAAAAAATAGATTAAAATGTTGAGTGGCTTAAATTTTCCCTCAAAAGGGAGTAAAATGGCTGTATAATTGTCTGTGGATCTTTGTGGCTTCCATTTACATACATGTAGCTCTCTCATGTACATGTAGCTCTTTTCAGGTATAATTCACAAAATTAGTAATAATATGGACATGAAGATAAAATAAAATAAAAAAACAATTCCCCCCCCCCCCTGCCTGCGAAGTAAAAGTTGTTTTTAATGTACATCAGGGATGTACATTATGTTTAAATGACATGGGGATCATGTCATTTAAACATGGGGATGTATGTGCATGTGCACATGTACCACTATCAGACTGTCAGTGTTGAGAGGATGTACAGAAGCATGAATTTATTATCCCACTTCCAAATGTCGGCTGATGCTGCAGACGACACTTAGATCCCCTTAAAACTCTCAAACATATCCTTCAGGATGGAGCTTGAGGTGACCTCAGTAAGGCCATAAGGCTGGAGAATTCTGCACCCACTTACGATCTCGATCAACACGAACATTCTTCGGGAAATTTGGACAGTCAAACTCCAGACAAAAATCAGCAAAAACGGTAAGGTCTGACCACACACTACAGCCACATCGTGCATGAGCTGCCAGGCTGGTCATTAGTCTGCTCCTTTACATATTGCGCTAGTTAAAAGCGTTTACACGTTCCAGATACATGTACATGACCATCGCTCCCTCAGTCTGGCTTCCGGTCAAACGCACTATTACAACACCGTCTTCAAATGGTGCCCGACTAAATTTAGTGCAAAATATATGGGAGCCTAGAGAGGCCACATAAAGCTTATACTCGATCGTAACCCTACCAGAAACCGGAGACCTTTTTTTTTTGGCCATAGTTCAGAAGCATCGCCAGATGATTGACCATTGCTGATGAGCTTTTTACTGCTTTTCGTAGTCATTTTGTAAGCTTTCCAAAATTAACAAATGAAATAAAGTAAAATAGCGACACCATAATACCTTTCAATTTAATCAGCGTAATGCATGCTTAACTTAATATTAATTCTTGGCGTTTTGGAAATATCCTTTGGGAAATCTTTGAAGTGGTCTGGATCATCACAAATAAATCAGATTTTGTTGATCCTGAATACACGCTCTCAATAAAATGTCATGGCCATGTACATACATGTACATGTACGTATCTTTTATGTACATTTAAAAATGCAAATAAAGTGTTCTTGGCATGTACATGTATCGAAACATACTACATGTATGTTTCGATACGTGTACTTGCCAAGAACACTTTATTTACGGGAAATCTTATTTCGACCTTTTTTGTTAGTTGGATGCAAAAGGAGATTTTATGTCCTGTACGTGTATGTACATGGATGTACCGGTACATGTACATGTATATATTCACAATGTACACCAGTATACAAATGTACATCTTCCCTTGATGCTCATGCAAAATTGTACATTGTGGCCTTGTCAAAGGCAGTCACGGTGAGGTCATATTATTACGTACAAGGTAATGTCCTTTCTGACTGGTTTAATTATTTTTTTCATATGTGACAGAGTGCTCGCCTTCTACAATATATAAAACAAACCAATACCTTTCCTGAATCAAATTTTGAAAATTGATGGGAGTTTCCCCGTGCCATGCCTGTGCACTAAGCATCCCTGGCCCATCTTCTAGGGCAGGCAAATATGAACAAGCAAGGAAGAGCCCACGTTAAGCGCATTATATCCATCAAAGTCAAGTCGAATTAGGAATGGGGGTCACCAGAAAAGTGAACAGCCCCCGTCCCTCTTGCACAAAGAGTAAAGCTGCCAGCTCTGGATAGGCTTAAGAGGACTTTGAGGATTTTGGAGAAATGCTTAATTAAGATTCAACTGTCATTGAGTTTAACCTGCCTTTAAGTGACGTGAACAGCAATAGACACAATTTTTAAAATAAAATTTGGTTCAAAATATCCGGTTTCTCGCATTGTATGTAACTTGGAACTCTGAATGTGAGAACAATGTTTCACATTTCATTATGTTTGTCATATGTGTACATGTTAAGGTGTATGTACTAGGTGTGAAATGATCCCACCCAAAAAAAGTGGAATTTTTGTTGAGAGAACCAAGTATTTTTTATATCATACAAGTACATTTTGTACATGTACTCTCTGTTTTTGGGGGTTTTTTTTGGTTCATTGTAAACTTTCAACACTCAGAGATGCCAAAATACTCTTGGTTTTGTCAAAAGCCAAGCATTCATTGATTGACTTTTTCTTTCTGGCTAACGATACTTTAATTGGTAACCCGGTGACTCATTGAGCAGCTGATTTATCAGCTTGCACAGGGTGCATCCTGGTTATTTAGTGGATGGGTGAGGACTCGCCTTGTACGGCAGGTTGGGGGAGATAAGAGGCCGCAGCAATGTGGGACAGGGGATGTTATTCACCGCTCTCAAAAACCGACCCATCCTGCGCTGTGTTGCCATGCAACTGTTTTCAATTTGGGTTTCCAACTTATTTCATATATGGCACAAAAGCGTTGAGAAAAGACAAGATCAGGGCCCCCCCCCCCCCCCCCCAAGTAAATTGTACTATCCTCTGAATATCCTGAACAGAATCAGGGCCAAATTGATGGCCGTGCTAATCATGGAATTCTGTGCTTTATGATTGCCATTCCATGCTTTCAGCACTACATTGTACGTGTACATGTACTATTCAGTTTTGCACCAAGTTGTCCACCCTGTATTCACCGACTTATTTATGGGATGTATGCTAGCTTTCACACAAGCTAAACATCTTGCCAAAATGCACACAAAGGGCCCATGAAATGGAGGTTTGAAGAATTTTGTAATGTAAATCCCAGCCACTATTACTTTGGTCCTGAAGTATACATGTGCAAAATACATTGTTTTAATTCTGTTTAATGGAGGATTTTGGAGGATTCAGGAAGGGTCCCAGTGAAAATGCCATTAGAGATCATGAACCTACATATTCTGGTGAATAACCAAGGTATTTGTTTTGGTGGGGGTTGGGTGGAGGTGATTTGGTTTGTGGCAGTAATTATGCTAACTTGGAATTTTCTAGCTTCAAACCAGGAGACATTTGAAATTGTTGTGTTGCACTGGTCATATAACTTTAGCATATTCTTTGTTTTTCTTTTTTGAAGGCTCACCACATTTTGAAACTATGTGCTTGTCAATAAAGAAATAATTGAGGCTGTCAATTTTTTTGACATTTTTTTCCCAGTAATTGATTTATTTGTTTTTCTTTTGGCAGGTTTGCACTGAGGGTCGTCTGGTCGTAGAGTTCACTTTTGATGACCTAATGCGCATACGATCATGGCATTTTGCCATCCGCCAACACAGAGAGCTAATCCCCAGAAGTGTGGTGGCTATGCAGGTACCGTATCATCTTTCATGTGGACATCTTTACATTTGCAATTTTTTTTATTTTCATTTGTTTTGATTTCCTTTTGGATATTTGGCTCTGTCACAGACAGTGCATTAAAAACAAGAAGTAATGTTTGTGACAGAGCCAATTAACCATGATATCTCAGGGTTCGACCTTAGCGGTGGTCCGCTGGCCAAATGCCAGTTGAATTGCCGGCGGACCAGCTGAAACACCTTGCCAAGTGGTCCGGCTGGCCAGCCGAAAAAAATCTGCGTCAAAAAAATGCTCGTTGTATTTATTTGGTTTCTTACTTACATTCACTATTTTTTTTCAAAAGAAACCTCCGTTATTTTTACAAATTCGCTTCGCGATATTATCACGGTGACTATAATCATGTGCGTAAATCCAGCCCAATGCGGCGATGACTGGTTCCCGCCGCGCCAATTTAGAAGACATCATGATGAAAATGCGGTAACTAGTCTGTGCACGGCTATGCGATCGATAGCGCTAGCATGGCTATATGCATTGTGCAGGCGCCAGGCACGTGCTCTGTCAACTGGTCGGATTCGACATCGTAAAAATGCCAAGAAAACACCGATGGAAAAAGAACATTTTTGCAAGTTAATTTACAGAATTGATCTAGCTTGTCTGTGTATGTATTTTCTGTGTTCAAGAGTTCATTTTTAGATCGCACTACTCATATTTGGAGTGATACATGCCATGTGTTTCCCGAAATTTTTGACCGTAAAAACGGGTCTGTCGGCCCATGGTGGGCTGCTCGCCACACACACACGCGTCACACACCTTGGAGTTTTGGCCAGCTCCCCGCATCTTGACTAGCGTTGTGCATATGGTGCGAACGACCTGAATTTTCCATTATTTTTTGAAATTATCGAACGTAAATATATTGACAATAATTAAAGGTAGGTTTTATTCACTTTTTGTCGCCATTTCGTGTATAGCTTTCGTAGTGCAATGAAAATAGTTCAGGCTAATACTTCGCATATAATTGAATACCCCATTCAATCTACATAAAAAAATTGTCAAAAAAAGAGAAGAATTTCCGACCGACCGACCCTATTTTTGAAAGGCATGTAATCGGAAGCAGAATTATTTTTTTTTGCCTAATTAAAGAGAAAATACAACATTTGCAAACATTGAAAAATAAAACTACCAAGTTTTTACGAAATAACTTACTAGGATGTTGGTAAATGACAGTCTAAAGCATCCTGTAAAATTATGGCACCTGTTGTGAAGTCATTTTCAAGAAAATTGTATTTTTGTATACATTTCCAACGGTGGTCGGCCGACCACCGTAGGAAAAGCCTAACTATTTTTCAACTACTGCTCCAAATTTACCATTTCAGTGTTTTAGTCCAAATTGTGTTTGCTATTGGTTACATGTTCATGAACGGGTGCAGGCCAGCTAGACTGGTTCCCTTACCTTACAATCTTCCGGCATCTATAAATTGATCCATTTCATCTTTAGTGGAGTCAGGGAACCAGACTACTTAAACATTTTTGTTTTTCTTGGTTTTTCCAGCATTTTCGAACACAAAACTTCAAACATGTCAGTGTAACAATATTTGATCTATTATACTAACCCCTCAAATAGTTCATTTCTGAAAATTACAGCGAAAGCCAATGATGTACATTCCCTTTAAGGTAGGTTTTATTCACTTTTTGTGGCCATCATTTTGTGTATAGCTTTCGTAGTGCAGTGAAAATAAATCAGGCTAAAACTTTGCCTACTGAGGCTTAATTGAATACCCCATATGGCATTCAAGCTGCATAAAAAAAAATGGCCAAAAAAACCTTCAAAAATCCGACCGACCGACCCTATTTTTAAAAGGCATGTAATCTGGGGCAGAACTATATATTTTTTTGCAGCCTCAGATCATGGAGGAAGAAAATAGACCTCTATTGCTCAGGTGACATGATGATATGGGTGTTGACTATAGTCTAAAATATGTGAAACTGATTAACTGGTGGGTACACGCTGTATAAGACGGACCAGTCAAAAACCTGGCGGACCAGTCAAAATTCTAGCCAACTGGTCCGGCTGGCCAGTCAAAAAAAAGTTAAGGGCAACCCCTGAATTATCTAATTGATAATACAGAGAAATGATCCCAAACTCCAACTACTGTGTAATCTCTTTGACCATTACTAGATGATGGTTGTATAAGATTTGAAAAATAGTTATCAGGTTTATTCGCTGAGCTCCTAAAGTCCAAAAATATAAATGTCCTAATTGTAATATCTGTGATGCTGGAATTGCCCTAAATTACATTTTTAAAAACCTTTTATTGCAGCTACCCTTTAACAATTTGGGAGACCAACATAGGTGTAGATAGCTCAGTTGGTAGAGCTCCGGTATTGTGTACCGGAGGTCACAGGATCATATCGCGCTCCATTCAATTTGTTTATGTAATATACGTTAGAAGCACCTTTTTTTTTAATGGAAACATGAATTTTAATCTGCAAGTAGTCACTATGAGCATTCAATGTTTACATTGCGTTGCACTTTCATTTGTTTTTTTAAACTAAAACGAGTGTCTGCCCACCCCTCAAACAACCCTCTCCCCAAAGGAAAAAAATTGAAATCAATTGCCTGTCCAAAACCAGATTTTCTTTTAAACTTGCTTAAATTTATTTGGTCATTTTGGTTTGCTTCATATTCACTGAGAGAGTTACATCTTGTGTTTTCAGTGTATACCCGGTTGAATTATTTTGTATAACATTGGAGAAAATGCAAATCACCTGTCTGAAAATAATTGTTTGGGTTTCAGTAGGAAAGATCTTTCACCTGTTCACAGGTAATTTGGTGTGTGTTCATGTCACTTGGGGAAAAATCAGCAGCAATTTCTTGATTGCCCTCCATTTTGTCGTGATGAGTCTAATCCAGTAAACCAGCCAACCTTCATACATTATGTAGGTAGTGCAGGGGGGAGGGCTACGATAGAACAGATTTTTTTCTTTTCTCTACATAACACTTAACAGTAAACCAGCGAGCTTTTAGCGAAATGAGTTCGCACAATCAATGGGGCTCAAACTCCTATGGGTTGTTTTTCTGGAAGAGCTCTTCTACGTGTACCTCTCTGTTACTGCGGTAATCAATTGGAGTGATATTTGATGTACTTCTCAGTGAAATCAAATCAGGAGAAATTCTATTTGGGGGATTAAATTGTGGTCCAGTATAGAGCTGATGATATCGATGAGAATTCTCTGAATGTGCCTCCTCAACTCTGAGTGATCTTGTCATGTATGCAGAAAAAAAGATACGTAGGTCAGAAAAGGTGTTTGCATACTGATAGACCCGCCCAGTAAGCCCCGCCTACTGCACACGTGGGGGACAGCACGTTGGCCTCCCCAATGCCACACTGCATATTCCAGCCGTGAGGGTCATACACAGGCATGCAACTTTTCCTCGGATCCGCTGATTTCCTTGTGTTTTACTTCTCATGAATGCCATTACAAATTAAAAAACACTGTACAAAGTCTTGTGTGGCTTGGAATTCCCTGGAGTAGTTGAGGGGGACTGTCGGGTACGGTTTGACCTTGAGCCTAGAAATATGTAAAGGTCACATAAATATGTAAATATGGAAATATGTAGATATAAATATGAATGAATGGGGTTATGAAATTCCGGGCACAGTTTGACCTAATGAATGGATGGGATGAATAGGGAATAGGTGTGGGTATAAGGAACCGGGTACAGTTTGACCAATTCTATGGGAAAGATTGCATAAGGTATGGAAAAAAAATATATATATATTTTTATGGTACATTTGGATCTTAGCCCGAATATGAGTTTCATACGTTAGTCCCTGTGAACGACCAGCTGGTCGGATCTTTAATCCCCCAACAATAGACGGGAGAGGGCGCGTGCCACGTCAGCGCACTAGTATTGTTACGAAGTTAATCCGATCGATACAAAAAGTAATTGGATTTCCGAATGCTCGACAGCAGAAAGCAGCGATAGATGGCAAAAATGAATGTTGCGTTGATCAGACTGAAACGAGTACGATTGTCTATTTGAAGAATTATTTTAAAGTCATTTTTATTGGGTTTATGGGTATCGGCACGTTGCGTTTTCCAAGTTATAAACAAACACTCACCGCAGCATACTTGCAGGGTACAGCCTGTGTCGGCCATGGGGGTATATGATAAATCCACGATCCATAATCCATGCGTCTGTACGGAGACCGGTGGTCGATCACCCCTCGATGATCATACTGATCATGGAACAAATAACTCCGTCCGTGCGCCTATATTCCTCTTGTTAATCGATACAATACCAATGGCACTCTTCTACACTGCCACCAGAATCATCCAAGTAAAAATATATGTCTGTGCGCGGTGATCGTAGAAAAGGGTAGGTTTTGGCATCAGCCAGAGCAATTGCTAGTACACATGCACACTACTGTATACACGCCGTCCGATCAGATAGCGCTCAAGTTTTCTTAATCCGTGACGGCTAAATTATCGATTAGGCTCTATTGCAGAGGCGCGTACAATAAGGAATGGATTCAGTGGTTTAAAGCCATAACAAAACGTGCGGGCATGTGGTTTTTAAAGGGAACTACGGCCTGAAAAGTGCCCGATCAAGTGTATCGGAATAACACAACCATCATTGTGCATTTTGTAATATTTCGTACTAGAACGACCCCAAAACTAAGCTATAGCCTATCCATAGTTGAGATTTTAGTCGTAAAGTGCTCGTCTTTTTTTGCGGACGTGTGAGAAACCATTTTTGGGGGGGGGGGGGGGTTAGGGGGAATGGCGTTCGACGGGAAAAACGGTGCCTCTTTAACGCTGTCTGTACAGGAAAGCACCGAACACTAGTTGTACCTCCGTGCCGGATTTGTTTACAAAATCGAGGATGACTGGGTTTTATCTACGAACATTTTACGGGGGTTATTTAGAGGGCGTGTCCAAGCGCTAATTTTATGACTGATAGTAGGCTTTTACGATTGATAAGACAACATAAACAAAGAAAAATACAACTG